GAGAGAAGATCTATTTATTACCAGCAAGCTGTGGAATACCTTCCATAAGCCCGATTTAGTTGAACCATCTATCAAACAAATGTTAACTGATTTTGGTCTTGATTACATAGATCTCTATTTAATACATTGGCCAATCGGATTCAAAGAGGGTGAGGAATTTTTTCCTAAACACTCTGATGGTACTCTTGTTTTCAGCGATGTAGATTACGTTGATACATGGAAAGCTTTAGAAAAAGTTTTGTCTAAAGGCCTGACAAAAAATATCGGTGTCAGTAATTTTAATTCCAAACAAATTACCAGATTACTCGAAAATGCAACAGTTAAACCTGTTACAAATCAGGTAAGTTAAGAATAACAATTGAAAGAACCTTGCTGGTAATGATTACTGTTTAGTTCTGCATAGTTGCAATAATATTAATTTACTAATAATTTTGAAATAGGATATATTATTTACATGATCAGAAGTTTGATTAAATATAAAGAAATCCTTTCTCTAAGCTGTTTATCAACAGCTTTTTACTTGTACATTTTACGGAGAAAAGATATGTAACACACAATATGTAAACACACACACACATGTAAATAAAGAAATGTAAAAAGAAATCTTTTTTGACGTTATCATTTTTGTGTTATTTTAGATCGAATGCCATCCATATTTAACGCAAAATAAGCTGTCAGATTTTTGCAAGCAAAAGGACATTCTTATTACAGCGTACTCTCCACTCGGATCGCCAAATCAGAGACCATGGGCCAAGCCAGATGAACCAAAATTGTTGGAAGATAAGAAATTAGTTGAGCTCGGGCAAAAGTATAACAAGACACCAGCACAAATACTTATTCGTTATCAAGTATGTTATTAAGATATTAACGTCTCAAATGTGTGATAAATTAGATGTGTCTAATATAATTTTAAGTTTTAAGTTATATTTAAAAATCCGCAATATCTAGGACATTAATTGATATATTGATAATATATTATTAATACGAAATTTTAATAATTATCAACACAGCTGGATCGCGGCCATATAGTAGTACCTAAGTCAGCTAACAAGTCACGAATGGCTGAAAACATGAAGGTATTGCACTTTAAGCTTTCATCCAAAGATATTGCTTATATTGACAGCTTTGATTGCAACGGAAGGTTTTATTCAGCACCTTGGTAAAGATTTATTATTAATTTACCATTGTCATTTTTACGAAGACAATATTTTGTCCCAGTAATAGGATATATGATATAATAATTGTATAATGTATTAATGTTTCTTTTTCATTTTTTTTTATTTTCAGGACAAGCGCTAATCGTTACTATCCGTTCAATATCCCATTCTAATTAAATAAGCAAGTGAGGCTACGATACATCTACGTTATTTCTGTTATCAACTTTTATCATTATAACACAATTTCCAAACTACTATTAATTTAAGCATACATAAATATTATTCGTTTCTCATAATTTATAACTATAATAATATATTCTTATAAATATAAAAAATAAAAATTTTCACATTACTGTATTTAACTATTAATTTTAAAAATCAATTATATTAAAACTTTTTGTACATATGTTAAAATAAAGGAATCTTTGTACTGTCAAGGACATTAAAGCCGGTTAATTTCACTGATTTTTTAAATGTTCGGATATTGATTGCTACATTATTGCTACAATAAATCGTCGTTGATTTCGCAACCACAAGAGCAACACTCGCAAAACTCCTCATCGCTGTTGCTGTCCGTTTCCGATCCCGAGTGCAGCATCCCCGACGTTACTGACTGATAAGCATCCAGCGATCCGACGTTGCAATCATATAACTCGCGCCTGTGCTCTTCTTCGCAGTCGTAGCTGCAGATATTAATTTGCTGGCATGCGGCAGGTGTTGGGCACTCGTCGCACGTTTTACTGGGATCACACGGCACCGAGGATTGCGTTAATTGTTTAGATACATCTGAAAAAATTTATTTATACAATTGAATATTAATTTAATGCAAAACAGATTTATATAAATTTTCGTTACGTAGAATATTCCTAATAAAATTTCTAAGAAAACGAGTCGGTATACGCAAAGACCGGCACACATGCCTGTTTTCGAGGCGACGCTGAATAGAGACTCGCAAGGAGGTTTCGCCGAGCCCTTGGATTTGAATGCAGCGGAAGAAACCCGTCGGCAAGATTTGCAGCAAATGCAATCGCGCGATTTATTCGCGGTCGCGCGATGGTCCAGCGGGACGCAGCACGAAAGCGAAAGCGGACGCGATTTTTCGCAAGTCCCAAATGGCCTTTTTGGTGCAGTCAACGTGATCGACGTTGCGCACGAGCAGCAGGTCTAGATTAAGAGGGATATACATTAAAAACTGGAAGCAGATGAATGTTATTCACTTCTAGTACTCACTCGTTTCTTATCTTCAAGACTCAACTTTTTCTTCGCACATTTATCACGTGTGTAATCTTCTGATGGACCAAATAGTTTTCTGTCCTTCGACCCCTGCGCGCGTTCCGTCATTTTCCCGCTGCCGCGCTGAAATTTCTTGCACGACAGCAACTTGCCCATTTGTCGCCTGTACACGAATTCTTTGTTTTCCAGCTCTCTGATGCAGTTCTTCAGTTTCAATTCTTCCTCGGCGAGCTGACGGATCTTTCTCAGGCATATCAGATCCTCGGAATGAATGGAATGCAGGCTGGGTGTACTGCGTCTCTCTACCTCGTTGCGCAACTCTGTCAATTTCTCTTCCGTTTCTTTGTTAGCCAGCTCCAAGGACTCCAGCTCCATGCCAGTCTCCTCCAGTTTCACATCCGCGTCTATGATCTTGTCCTGCATCAATAGAGAGTTGATTGTGAATTCCCGTCGCGCGAATTATTACTCTGTAACATTCGCGACACTCTTTAATTTTTCAATTTTTCAAGGACCATTTGATAACGTTCAGGATTGGTGAAATTATATTTTTGTACAACTTACAATTAAACATATGTATTAAGTAAGTAAATAATATTATACGCACACGTAACACACATAATATGCATTATACATATTACATATCATATTCTATATTTTATTCATATATTATGTTTCGTGTTGATATAATTTCTCAAGTTATTTTTGACTTCTGTATAAGAATTTTATGCGTACGGAAATACTCTATAATGTGCATTGCAGCTGTTACTGGCACTACAGCCAGAACGCCAATTTTAGATCTGGAAGCGATATTTTTAGATCCTAACGCCCCTTCTAGCATAATAATTTTACTTTAAGAAATAAATGTTAGCATATTGTACATAAATCGAGGCAACTATATGTACTAATGTTTTTGCTGTGAAAATCTTTGTTAAATTTTTGTTTAAAGAGACGAGTAGCACGATTCAAACATCTGTTTATATTTGAGATAGCGTCAACGTTTGAAACATTTGTTTTAAACGCAAGTATTTAAATTACAGCGACATACCAATAATGCACTTAAGTTCGCGATAATAACTTTCATAACTCTCGCGTTACAAAAAGGCACACTGGCAAGATTTACCCGGATTCTTATCTCGTCGAATGTCAATCGTGCCGTACATGCAACTCTGCCGTTTCCTGGTGGAGGCCGTCGACCGTGCTCTTCAATTCGGCGAGGAGTCTGTCGGCGGGGTCTGGCTGCGGCGAGAACAAATTCATGATCTCTCGTACTTTGTCGTACGGCCCATCGCGACAATCTCGCTCGGCCATCCACATGTTGTACGCCATCAGAGCCGGAATGGAGCGTTCCATCGTGGTGACTTTGCTCCTGAGTTCCTGGTGGCGGCCGATCAGGCCGCACCGACGTTCCTCGATCTCGGACGAGACGTTCGCCAACGGCGAGTCAAGCGCTTTAAAGAATTGTTATTGTCTTTATTAATTAATTTTAATTGGAATCTTTTTAATTAAATCAATCGATCATTGAGGCCAATATTTAGCCCCAAATGGGACGCTGTCTATTTATTTCTTCACAACCGTCCGCAGTGGAATCAACGGTTAATTGAATGAGGTTACTCACCGGCTTTGGTCGACATTCCGATGAATTTAATTATCGGTCGAAATATACAAAGGATGAAATTGATCGCACAAACGTCCGCGGACTCTTTTCTACTTGAGACTTTCGAATTGGAGAGCCAAAGAATGGAAATAGCGAGCTGCTTCCGCCGCAGAACGGCGTTGACCGGAGTTTTGGGGGCAGATGAAATTTGTATGCATAGCTGTCGCGCGAATTAAATGTGGGTCAACCTTTATGCATCGAAATCGTATGTGCGAAACAAAAGAAAATTTTGACATGTACTCTCGGAAAATTCTCCCTTCGGCTACCAACTTCGCTTTTTCTAAGTATTACGGCGACACTCTCCGGCGATATGCGGACTGATATTAATGTTTACTGACCGTTTGGTTATTCAGAAAGCCGGGGAACAAAGATCATCGGGATATCTAAAATCTGGAGCAAGACCAAACAAGCGGTCAAACGAGCCACAATGTTATCACTCGGCTTATTCAATAGTACGGGATTATATCAAGTGATTCAGGACTTAACGTTATAATGCATTGCAGTGACGAGCGGCACGATGCGTAACTGACTTACGTAACGTATGATCGTATCGTTGCAATGTATCTATTGCTTCACCTCCATATATATATGTATCTATTTGTTTAGCAAAAAGATACGCTAAAATATCTGTTACTCCCGAATAATTACATGATACATCCTGTGTGGCTTTTGCTGAAAGCATTAAACGGCGTAAAAACTTGTCTTTAGAAAAATTAATGTTCGCACAGCAAACTGGAGGAGCCAACGACGCGGCGAGACGACGACGACGACTTCTCGTTGGTAACCGTAACGAGCGTTTCCCTCCAGGAGAGCACAGGCAGCACCTTCACCGGGTCCGTTTGCACGAATTGGGAGGAGAAATTCGCCTGTCGCGCATTACAGGGCCGAGGCCGCGTCTTCAGCTATCGGAAGAGGCGGGCTCACTTCGGCGATGGAATCTTCAGCGCGCCGGCTGGCGTCTGCCCGCGTCACGTTACTTCGTCGGTCATTCGCCGTAATACAGGTCGAATGTCGTTCAACGCAAGTCTGTTAAGATATTTTATTTCGAATAAATCGAGATGACTTTCGCAAATAAAGTCTGCGATTGGCCAGAATATTTGAAAATGGGAAGTACGTCCCACGTTTCGTTTAGCTAGCTGCTAGTTTTCTACGCAGATAATACGCGGAAATACGCGAAATTATTAATGCAGCGAAGATCGATATTTTTCGCGGAATTGCGAATGAATGAATAAAAAAAACCGCTTTCCGTGTTGCAGGCGATTCCCGGCTCGTGTTCGTCTGGCCGCAGAAAGCCAGCAGGGGTCGACTCTCCAACGTTCTCCTGCCCTTGCTACGCAGCGTCCTAGTCGGACTGCTGTTCGTGGACGCTCTTCACTTGTGGCCTGGAGAATTCTTACCCACATCTCTACCGCCGACCATGCCGATCACTTTGCCGCCTGTCAAGTGCAACGTCATTGAGCCCCGTTGGTACGATAATAACTGAGTCATGACTAAGATTTGCCGAATCACGTTTGCATAAACATACGTTTGCGATATCGTGGCTATAATTTAAATAAGACACTGTTCAATCTTCAATAAAGATAGAGTCATCTTGTGCGGAGACCTTTTTGATTCTTTAGTAGCGTTTGGAATTATTTTCATATGTTTCACGAGAAGAGAGTTTCGCACGGTTTTAAATTCAACGAATGCAATGATAATCTAAAATGGTAATTGGAAAATTTTCATATACGCAATTAATTTTCATAATTGTATCTGCTTATATTATCGAAGGTAATTCAATAATGTACTCGATGTCACGCTACTGCAATTATAACTTATCGTGTGAGTTAGACGATAAAAAAAATCAACTTCAGACATAACATTATCGATAATGTGCCTTAAAATTTTTTTTATTTTTGATATAACTAATCTTTGGATTTTAAAATTTCTTATCTCATGGAATATGGGAGTTTCATATGGAATATAAAACTTTGTTATATCTACTTCTTGGTTATTTCTCCTTTCGTATCACTTGCGATGAATTGCGTATTTTCTTACTATCAGGAACATAAATATGTTTATATTTGTTGCATGATAATCGCATGTTGCAATTAATCGCGGCTGTGACATTGACACGTGTGATTTAATTTCTACATTTATTTTAATAAAATAGTTATCAATTAGTCATCTCAATAAAAGAGACCGAAATTAATTTATCAAATAAAGAAAACGCGAAAGCGACTGCACGATGGAACGGCTTCTCTCGCGAGGCAAGAACGAACATTTGTGTAATTGGCACACCGTACATCATCACCATACATTATCGGGAAATTATTAGCCGTAAAATATAAATTGTGCCTTGAATATAGGAATAAAGCAAGAGAGAAAAAAAAGACAAAGTGTTTAGTTACACAATCTTACCGGAACCGGTTAAGCAGGAAACTATTACAATTAAGCGTGATGGAAGTTATTAAGATAAAGATAATTGCAAAAGTGAAGTTATATATGTGCATCGTGACGCGATGAAAATAGAAATTACCTTCCTATTGTTTACAAGAAGAAAAACCTACATCACGTTTACTTACATAGTATCTTAAGCATGCGCGTTATCGCGTGCTCAATGCAAATAGTTGCCTCTATTTTATCTCGTCGGTTATAAAAGCTCGGCTGCTAGCGCAGCATTTTTTTTAAACATCGCACAGAAACATAAGGGAACTCAAACAAGATCAAGTGTTCGGTTCAGTTATTCAATCGTCGCGTTTATTTATCACGGGATTGAGTTGGGAGGTGGTAGAGGTGAAGAAGAGATTACAAGACTCAAGATACCAGTCTTTGTAATCTTCTGCACAGTCTCGTCCCGTGATTGAATCGAGTAGGAATAGATTCTGTTACTTTTTCTTGTTACAGAGGTGCATTACTTTGTTGACCACCTTATCGTTTTCATTATTATTCAGCAAAATATGATCTAAGTTCAAATTATAAATAATATAATAAATGTCAAAGCTACAGTATTTGAATCGAATTTAAAGGTGCTGATAAGAAATCGCTGTGTTGTAGAATTATTAACGTGACGAACGGTAAGTATCGAAAGCTCATATTTTCTAAATATTACAAATATCTAAATATTACAAATATTAAGACGTCAATCTTGCCAAATTGAATAAAAGAACAATAACTTCATTTAAACCAATTTTAGATGATTTATAATTTATATCAGAATTCAGGAAAGAACTCTATTTACGAATTTATGTACTATGTAATATGAAAAACATTTAAAAAATTATAATGTTCATAAAAGTTAAATCAAAGTTAAATCTATTCTGATAAATAATTTTCGTTATTGTGTTATCCGAAATTTACTAATCAATAAAAAATTTTTATCGGTTATCTTAATAGAACGTTTATTAGATTGATAAAAATTGAGTGCGCAATGAGATATAATTAAAATATACATATAACATAATAAACAGTTTGTTGCTGAATCATTTGATTTGTAAATCTCTGAATAAATGTTATATCAAGAACTGATAAAGATTTTTTAATAAATTATTTTTATCGCTATTTGCTCTGTTGATCGACGATAATTACTCTGTTTATCAACGCGAAATATATTTTCTACACGAGTCACTGTTTTTATCGCAATCGAAAGTACTGTATCTCTGAGAAATTTCGATCAGTGTTGCAAAAACAGTACTGACGAAAGCATTACTAGTGCTTATTTTTCTCGGTGTGTTATTAATGTAGTCTCACTTCAACAAATAACTTATGAATTTACTTGATAATCTATTTAATTTATTTAATTTATAATTTATTTGAGGTGTTCGCAGATTACGAGAATGGATATCATCTTTTTGGCACTATATACTCTTTGCATTGTTGTGTTTTTCGGAATTCTATCGATTGTTCATAAACAGTATGTTATTCGTCAGAAACTCAAAAACGTACCCGATTGCGGTGGATATCCTTTTATTGGTCTGGTGTTTAAGTTAATAAATTTATCGGAATATGGTAAAGAATTTTATACATATGCGCATACAAGATTTTATCACATTATTCTTTTATACAAGTGCTATTCATATATTCGCACACGGCTTAAAATAAAATTTTGCTATTTAAATTTATATAATATTTGAATTGATATAATAATTATTAATAATCTTTAATTGATAGAGCGCATGAAATGGTTTGAAACGTATATGAAACAATGTAAAGAAGGAATATTCGTACAATGGATCGGACCTAAACCTTTCGTTAATGTGTTTAAACCAGAATATTTGGAGGTAAATAAAATCTGTTTACTAACAGAAAATGTCATCAGTTATATTATGTTTTCAACGATAATTAGTGTATCACATAAGCACCCAAGCAGAAGAATAAGTCATTATAACATCAAAATGATTATTAAAAGTCACTTTTCGATCAGTTATAAGTCATTTTAATGTTATTTTGAAGATACCGTGATCTGCTATGACTCTGCTTCGGCAGTGACTGTTCATATTATATAAGCGATCGCGATGAAACAGCATTTTTTATATAGTATTACTTATAATTAATAGTATAAAACTTTTCTTGAATATTTATGAGGCATGCTCAAGTATTTATAAAAAATTCATAAGCAGGATTTTAAATTAATAGTATTAAATAGTATTTTATTAATAGTATTTTAATAGTAAAGATCTTTTTAAAGAAAAAAAAAATTGTTGCAGCCAAATTTTTTTTGTCACTAATGTCATGTTATCTAATGCATAGTAATCAAATTTTGTTATTATACACGGAAAAAATTGTTTTAAATTTACCCTGCAAACCATGTTAATTATGGGACAATATAGTATTTAGGCAAATTTTACTGTGCACTACAATAAGATTTCGCAGTAAAATTTATTGTAGTGCACAGTAAAATTTACCTAAATACTATATTGTCTCACAATTAACATGATTTTCAGGGTAAATTTTAAAAGGAAATTTTCTCCGTGTACACTAATCATTTGGCACATTGTAAATATACTTGTTTTGTTAGTAAAGAGATAATATAGAATATTATATTTTTTTTTTCCTGGCTGAGAACATGAGGTGATTTTTTTGCGATAAGTTTCCTTACAGATTCGTCGAGAATGATTCGTATAGATGCAGGCTATCATTTATTTGACGTCGCGGAGGAGGGGGGGCTTTATTAGATGCAAGTGAGCATCAAGTACTTATTAAATTGATTAGCAATTTAATACGTGATAATACGATTCTGTTTCAATCAAGAGGGGTGGGGGAGGGGGTTGCATTGAATTTGGTAGTAACGACACGCAGTTTCGTTGAAGCTAGGATACGTATGTAAAATCACATAAGAAAATAATTGAAACATCAAAATGCTATGACCGTGCATTGGCCTTCCTTATTCGTTATGTGTGAAACACTTATACGGTCGTAATAGATACATATATTGTTTATATATTTTTTTTCTGTAGAAAATGCGAAAAATTTTTGTGTATAAATTTATTTAAAGAAATTAAATTGTTTTCAGAATTATTTTTAGCAAATCTGACTATTTCTGTTATCGCGGAATGTAGATTTATTTGTTATTATTAAAATAATTTACGAATTTAGCAAAACTGCTGTTGGTAAATAGAATTAATAGTCACAATAAATTCTTTTAGTGTTTATGACGAAATATATTGTAGCATAAAGTACATTGTTAGTAATAAAAGTATGTTATATTTTTTTCTGAATATCGTTGGATTATACCTCTTTCAAACATTTACAGATTATTTTTCCCAGCACCGTGAATATCGCAAAGGATCATGCTTATGATATGCTGAGACCTTGGTTGGGCAACGGACTTTTGACATCTACAGGTAAGGGCACAACAAAATCATTGCATACCTGTTTTTCCAACTAAAAATAAATTGCAGCTTATTTGCTTTAATATTTGTACTCACCCGTGAAAAGATTTAGATAAGTTGCATATTGACCAAATAAGTTTTGCTTTCTTTCTGTCTAAAAATACATCCTATATTTTTAGACAGAAAGAAATGTACATTTGTATTTAAACAAGAAACAGTTAGATTTTAATTCTTACGGTTTATTTAAATATCTTTGTGACTGTACATTCATATTGATTATTCATGTCGCTTACGTGTCAGAAAAATGTATAGTTTTTCGCGGAATTTTTTGTCTTATTTACCTTGCTAATACCTAGTAGTGCTGATTATATAGGAAAAATAGGATATCTCTATCGCCTCAAAAACTAGCGATAACAAAACTAATTATGTGTTTTTTTTTAGCTAACTTTGTAGCTTTATCTTTTGCGATATTTCTATAACCTAAATATATCACGTATTAATGCTTTAGGTAAACAATGGTTTCACGATAGAAAACTCATCGGGCCAACGTTTCATTTTAGTATATTAGATCAGTTTGCTGTGGTGTTGTCTGAGAAAGCAGAGATTCTGACAAAGTGTCTCGAAAGAAAGTTAGAACGAGATCCAGGGAAAGCCATAGATGTTTTCCCTTTTATTCTCAATGCTGCTCTCGATATTATCTGCGGTAATATATCATATTTTTAATTACAATATACATATAAAATATATTTTTCGCGAAAAAAGAAACGTTTGTTGGCACAGTATATTTTATGTAGAAACTAATTTTATTAATCATTTTATGGACAACAAGAAAAATATAAAAATATTAATTTAAATTCTAGCAATATGACAAAGAGATTATCAACAATTATTATTTTGCAGAAACGGCAATGGGTGTGGATATACGTGCTCAAGAAACCGAAACTAAATATATATCGACAGTTCGTCAGTGAGTTTTTCAAACTTCTTATATTGCTAACGAAACAGCTAATAATTTAACAATTAATAGTGAATTAAGTGATTTAATTTACAATAAACTTTAATAATTAATTACATATGAAATTTATGTAAGTTAAACGTCAATAAACTTTTAGAGCCTCCGAGTTAGTAATGGATCGACTGCTTCGACCATGGCTGTGGAATGATTGGTTGTACGGTTCACTACCTGTAGGAAAACAGCATAAATCAACGCTTAAGATATTGCATGAATTTACAAATAGGGTACGCTATAGGAATGTTAATAATCAGTATTTAGAAATTTAAAACAGTGTCAGAGTTACACTAAATTTTTTACATTATTGTTCAAAAAAATTTTGTGTTTTCAACTAGCGTATAATAAATTCTAGGTGATAAGTAAGAGAAAAGCTGAACGGCAATCGCAAAATAACCATACGGAACTCGAAAATGAAGACAATGAAATTGATATAGGTGCGATTGTACTCTCTAAATTTTCTGGAGTGAATCTCACTCTAGAAAATTTGGAGAATAAATTATAATTATAGACCATTAGGATATTTTTTCTATTTTGTGAAAATTCCTTTATCTAATGAAATTTGTTATATCAGGTAAACGAAAGAGGAAAGCGTTCTTAGATTTATTGTTAGACCAGAATGCGAAGGACGAAACCCCATTAACCGATGATGAGTTGAGAGCGCAAGTCGACACGTTCATGTTTGAGGTAAAATGTCTGAAGTTAAAATTAAAATTTTCCGTTTCTTTAATATAAAATTTTTTGTTATGATTAGTTTGATAATATATTGTATCTGTACAAGTAAAAAGTACATATAATATATAATAATAACATTAATAACAGGGACACGATACAACTGCGGTTGCGATGTCCTGGGCGCTTTTCCTTTTGGGTAATAATCTCGAGCATCAGGAAAAAGTTCACGAAGAACTCGAAGAGGTTTTCGGAGATTCAGAAGCACCGGCCAGTGTAAAGGAACTGTCGCAATTAAAGTATCTCGACAGAGTCATAAAGGAGACGCTCCGTATATTTCCGAGTGTACCTATAATTTCGAGGGGACTAGTAGAAGATTTAAAAATAGGTAAAACATAACTTTATCTGCCAATTAAGAAAAGAAAATCTTAAAGAACACGCCAATATGTAAATTCATTTAAGCAAAGCAATTAAATATAATAATAGTAAAGCGAGCGATATTTAAAGTATTTTTTTAGATGTATAAGTGTTTAAAAAATAATGTCTTCTTTCATTATTTATTATTATTATTTATTAAAAATTAAACAAATGCAATTTATTTAAAGTATAAATTAATAATTTAATATCATAGTCTCATTATAATTCAGAAATTCAATTTATAAATCATACTAACGTTTATGTTGACGAAGACAATGAATGTTCTAAATAGGCGAATATATTAATTTGTTTCTTTTATTTTAGACAATTATACGATTCCGAAAAATACCACGGTCGCATTGCCAATCATATTAGTACACCGAAATCCGGCGGTCTGGCCGGATCCATTAAAATTCGATCCGGATCGCTTCCTTCCAGAAAACTCGAAGACTAGGCATCCGTACGCCTACGTTCCGTTCAGCGCTGGACCGAGAAACTGTATAGGCCAGAGATTCGCTCTACTTGAAGAGAAGACCGTGTTGACCGCTATTCTCAGGAAGTGGAGAGTGAAAAGCGTAAAAACGGTCGACACGATTCAATACGCCGGTTCTCTCATTTTGCGACCACATGAAGAAATATTCATACATTTCACGCCGAAGAAATAAACAGTTCGATAGCAAATTACAGATTTTTATACTAGACTGTGATGGCAAATATATGTTTTTTATATCGCGATTTTCAAACTTTTCCTCATTAATCTTCTCTCACTATGTAATATATATTGTAATATGTATACGTAACAATTACATATCATACATAATAATAACAAAAATCAATATTTTTGCATATATATGCATATATGTATGATATATTTGTGAAAAATATCGTAAAAATCGTATGAATAGAGATGTCGATGTATAGATATGCAATCATACTTTTATAATAATAATAATAATAATAGATTATCATTATTGTTTCATACAATCCAGAATCTTTTCTCACAGTCAGAGAGTATCTTAAGCTAATAAAATAATTTTGGTGATAATTCACATATCATTCAGACAAAAGACGTACAATCCACAATATTACAACAAACATTTGATAAATCAGATCATGAATGTTTTTAAGAATCAAAGCATATAATGTTCTTTGTATGTAAAATTCTTTTGATGTTAAAAATAGTATGATAAAATTCGAAACAAGATTAATTAATGGTATAGCTAACAAATTACAATAATTAATAATTATTTAATACGTTAAATAATTATTACTTTTTAAATAATTTCAGTTTTGGAATCTCACAAAATGTATAGATTTTCTACCGGTTTAAGGATGCTAGAGCCTAGAATACAGAATGCCGTATATTACACAACGAGGTAAACAAGGAATTAGTTTTAATGAAGTAAACAAGAATTTGATTCTAACATTTGGAGAAATTCCATTTTTCTTGTGAATCTCTGATTATACGTGCTCATTTCTAAGTCTTAAATCTCCTTATGTCTAATTCCTTGTTCTCGTGATTTCTTATGTTTAATTCTTTATTGTTCTGTTCGTCGTTTATCGTTACAAATGTGTGAAGCCAGTTTGGATAATTCATGCCAATGCAAATGCAAATGCTCGATCATTTACTTTCATTTGGATTTTTGTAGCGTATGATTTCTAGTTTAAGTGTAAATAAATACACAACATCAATTGATAATTTCTATTTTGTTTTTTAATTTATGATAATAGTTTTTATTCGGAAAAGTGCAACGATTTAAGCAGTTTCCAGGAATTCTTGACTATAAATATGATGAAATATAAAAAATAATTAAAAGGATAATTTTCACATTGTTTTTTTTTACAAAAAAATCGAAGAAATGAGAAAAATTGCTTATGTATAATCATATATAAATGATAAAAATATACATATATAATTATATATATGTACAATTTTTTTTCATTTCTTAAAACTTGATTTTTTGTAAAAAAAAAACAATGCAAAAATTATTCTTTTAATTATTTCTTATGTTTTCTTTTTATTATTACCATTTTTCTTGTATCAAACAATTATAATTGTACAAAGACAAGAAGCATATATGGATATATATGGACATATTTTTAATTATGTATAATTATATATAATTATATATTTTTATATATGTTTATATATATATTTATATATGTTCTTATATAAAAAATGTTTTTCCGGGTAATCAATCGCGCAAATACCGATTTTTTTGCTCCAGCCGTTTCAGAAAAAATAATGGGTGCGCTAGCTTTGGAGATTAAAGATCTCGCAGCCTGTTCAGCACAATTGAATCGGACTTGCGTAGAAATTATCTCCTTTTTACTAACTAATCAATCGCGCAAATTACCGGCGTCAAGTCGCTAATTAAATTTTGACTGGAATCAAATCCGAGAGGCAGCGAGTTTCGATATCTCGAGAATCGTGACGTCACTCCAACAGATCTCGAATCGCGGCCGAGTCGCGCGCGGCGCGAGTCGCACAATGGCGTTCCGTACGTGCCGCGCGCGTCCGCGTCGAGTTGCCCGAAGTCCGATAAGTGAATCCCGCGCGCGAAAGACTGTCGATGTCGCGTCGCCAAGTGTTCTTAGTGATGCGAGTATCACGGATAATCACCGAATCGTGTTCGCCGATCGCGAACGTCTCGTCGGCGATCCGTTTTTCCGCGTACTTTGGAAGCCCGAAGCCGATCGTCGCGCAGGTACAGTCAGTTCGGTGTCGAGTTGCAGCGAGAGCTGCCGGGCAGTGCCGGGTGCATATTATTATAGTGATCGCCGATCATCGCCGTGTGTCACTGCAGATATAAACGTACGTGCATATATCATAATTCTGATATCGAATAAAAAATGTATTGAAATTTTAACTGGTTTTGGGAAATACTATAAATACACGTCGCACGCGCACGGCCGAAGGGTATTGAAAATTGTTAAATAATCGACTTGCGACTTTCGCAAGATGCCGATAGCCGCAAAAATTGTTTTTGTTCGATATACATTTTTTAATGATCTATCATTATCTGAATGTTTCGCAAAACATGTGCGTATTTGTGATGCAATTAATTGCAGGCTTTAAAAATAGAAGCGTGCATTTCTAGATTATAATTATCCACGCGAATATTAGCGAGTTCGCAGTGGTGTATTAATCGTCGTGCCGTAAACGCATGTGTATATATCTGGTATACATTTACGATATATACCTTTATAATGATGCGTCTGATTAAATAGTAAATTTCAAATTTGCATTTCTGAATCGAGCAATCTCGCATTGCTGATCGGATATTTACATCGAATAGTACTCGACGTTCTTTAATTTATCTTCTGTTGAAAATCACTCTATTTACTGATTTATATTTGCATTGAATTTAGTGATTTATACATATTTGAATTTATTGTTAGTGTACTTATAATAATATTCTGTCGGATGGCGCGAGATGGCTATGGTTGTCGTTATTGTGACTTGTGACGTTATCGGTCAAGAGTTTTCCATTGTCGGACGGTAACTCGAACGGATGGTAAAACGAAACTTTATTCGGGGAGCGCTGTAAGGCGCAAGCTGCCTTCGGTATGTCGTCACCGTCAGGCCGGGAAACGGAAATATCAGTGCTGGACACGCACGTGACGCACGGTGGATAACCTCAATTTTGGAGTTTCATAAACATCGCACGTGCAACAGTGATATCCAAGAGCGTGTGGATGTTCGGAGTACGTCAACTCGGTAGTATGGCTTCGCGTGCCATTGTCGTTAAACGAAACGACGTACGATGCATAAGCTTTCTGAAAATGAAAGAAAGAGTCCAACGACTAATGGGCATGGACTCCGACGAACTGCCATATGCGCACATTTGTCAAGTTGGCGATCCCGTCTTGCGCGGCCAGGCTATGAAAGTAGAACCGGAAATTATAAGAATGGCAGATTTTCAAAAGGTACATTGTTGCAAATTTATCGACAGCGTTGTCTGAATTTTTAAATGAAAGAGATATCTACAAATTAACGAGTTGCTCTAAGGGAGACTGCTTGGCAAGAGAAAAACACAATTTATATACAAACAATAAAATTTGATATTGGAAAATATTAAGATGAATGAAAAAAATTATTTAAAAAGATAGTAAAACTGTTATCTACATGGAACATAAAAAACATATTACGCGATATGAAAATTAAAAGAAAAAAAAACATTGTGTTAAAATATACTCGACAATTTTACCTTTTTTTTTAAGTCCGACTATAAAGTAGCTAGTTGTAAATTATGAAAATATTTTTTCAAAAAGCAACGCAAGAATTATTTTTGTGTCTAATTTTTTTCGTGTTGATGAATTTTTAATTAATTTTTTTATTACGCAAAATAATTATACTCTTTTTCATCGTGTTGCGGGGGGTGGTCTCTTTTGAATTACAAATTTAAATTAAAAATACGATCCGTCGTAAAAAAAATAGTGCTGCATATTGCTGTTAATTATTCAGGTAATCAAGCGCTTGATAAATGTTATGCGCGCGTATGAAGCACACGGTCTATCCGGGCCGCAAGTCGGACTTCCCTGGCAAATATTTGCCATCGAGTGCACGGAGGGGAATCTAAAGAGGATCGAGGAAACTGTTAGGAAGGCTCACGAAATGGATCTCGTTCCATTGACGATTTTTATCAATCCTCAATTAAAAGTTATAGACCATACACCTATCATCCTTTACGAGGAGTGTGCAAGCATTCGGGGGTTTTCCGCTGCTGTGCCGAGAGCCTACGAAGTGGAGATCACGGCATTGAACGCTGCCGCCGAACAGTTCACGTGGCGAGCACGTGGATGGTCCGCTAGAATAGCGCAACACGAATACGATCACTTACAAGTAAGACTCACGGCGGAAAGGGGGGATTATTTCTATATAGTGCTAGAATACGTAGAATAAAAACAAATTAGTTACGTAGAAAGTAATCTGTTTCTATTTCTCAGGGAGGGCTGTACATAGAGAAAATGGACGTAAAAACATTTCATTGCACGGCCTGGGAAAAAATTAACAAACACATGGGCAAAGTGCGCTTAAGTTATTGGCCGAGGAAGTATTTATAATTTGACGAATTAATTATTTATATTGACTGAAATAAATGCACAGTGCTTACATTAAAATTAAAGCGTGCATATTCGCAAGTCTTTCACTATACATATACATATATGAAAGTGATGAAAGCGATTATTTTATTTAATCGTTATATCAATGTCGTTTTGAAAGTTAGTCGTTTTATTTCTCTTATCACATTCACGTTCTTCTTTATAGATAAAATTTTCATATATAGATTTTACAATACCTACAATATCTACTTTTTATTAACAAAACGAATAATTATATTTTTTTATTGTGACGTCTTTCTTTTGATCACATACTTCGATGACAAGACGAACTGAAGGAATCATTTTATCTTTTCCCTGAATATGTATTCAAAGAAGATAACATGTATATCTCTCTATATGCGGCGTACAATAACTCCGATAATAGAAATTTACTTAACAATAATAGAAATCGTTTGTACCTCTCAATATACAGACGGCCTTTCGCGACTAATTAACTTAAAGTGTAGCAGCTACATAAAAAATAGGATGTTTTATTTACGCATTTTTCAGAATACAATCATATAGTAGGCTATCAGACATATGGTCGCAGGTACGCGGAACTATATATAGTACCGAATGAACGAAGAGAATAAGTATTCCATTCGTATGAATCGCTCTTCGCGCGATTCTGTGGAGTTTTCCTTGCGTTACATTCAGTCGCTATCTTACTAGCGCAGCTCCGAATATCGTTTAATTTACCTTACATTCTATTCACGTAGCTTATATCTTTTAGTGGTCTCTGATATGATAACAAATATTATATTATATTAACGTATATACAGCTATGATTCCTTCATCATGTGTTCTTCTCGTTAACAAGATTGCGTTTTCTCATTAACAAGAAAAAATAATTCTCTAATTATTTCCAATACTTTAGAAATATGTGAATAATATATTGACCCGCAAAAATTTTCACTTTCTCTCTCTCTCTCTCTCTCTCTCTCTCTCTCTCACTCTTTGATTGCGATGGAGAGTTTAAGTTTCTGAGAAAAATTTCAAATGAAATTTTTGCTCGTTTATTATTCAGGAACGAGCTTCACCTAGATAGATATTCCAACAGCTAGAATGGCTGGTACAAAAAGCAAGTTTTATAAATATCACAACGGTTGTTGTATGAAAAATTTCTCGGTATCGGTGGTATTCTGTTTATTATTTCATGTGCGTCATTAAAATGTACAGAACTGTTTTTGGACCATTCAAAGAGATGAAGTGCGTTCTCTGGTCGCGACCTTTTCAGCTGCGTTGGTTATTCTCTTTATTTCATAAATAATCATGACTTCGAATATTTCCCTAATTAAGTACTTTTATTAGCGTAACGTTATTAAGTATATGACGTGTATTATGTACACCTAAATCGTATCTTAAAAAGCGTTTGTTTTCCCAGAGTATTTCTTGCTCCGACAACATCTGAAAATCTAAAAGGAACATGAGTTACAAAGATATTACATACACATTTTCAGAGTTTATGTTAACATTGCTTCATTTATCTTCCGTTTAGCCTGATTGAATGAGGCCGTATCAAAAGAAAGAGAATTCACTAAAGAGAATCTCTTTTAAAATAGCATGCACAATAATAGAGTTGAGAGAAAAAAAATTATACTTTTTAATATCAAGATACAGTTGAATTTTATCTTTGTTAAAAAGCTGAATCTTACGAGATTGGTAGCTTTGAATATAAAATTGAGTATTATACCACGTTTGCTTCATGAGAAAATGAAGCGATTGAAATTTAGACCTTCGCAAATAAGAAATAACATGGCGATAAGTTTTTTTATTGTAGATTATCTATGTGTTCACAACCACATCTAGTGCGTTTTTAATATATATATTTACATAATTTACAATTTTTAATTTATTAACAAAAAGCTTGCAGTTGGTTGTGAAGGTATATATATGTATATATATATA